TACTACTACTACTACTACTACTACTACGACTACTACGACTACTACCACTACTACTACTACTACTACTACTACTACTACTACTACTACTACTACTACTACTACTACTACTACTACTACTACTGCTACTACTCCTACTCCTACTCCTACTCCTACTCCTACTCCTACTCCTACTCCTACTCCTACTCCTCCTCCTCCTCCTCCTCCTTCTCCTCCTCCTCCTTTTCCTGCTTCTTCTCCTCCTCCTCCTCCTTCTCGATCGGATCGTCGTAGATGATCCCCCATGTCGATTCCCTTTTTGGATATTGAGGGAGGGAGAACAGCTGGCGGGATGGGGGAAGGAGGGTCTCGCAGATCCGCGCGGTGCCTCACGCCGCCGGACCCACCAGCAGCCCTCGAAAGTGGCGACAGCTTCGCAGATCGCAGCCCCCCAGGGACGGCGAGGTCTCGCTCAGATCTGCGCGGTGCCTCATTCCGCTGGACCCGCCAGCAGCGCTAGAAAGCGGCGACGGATTCGCAGATCGCAGCTCCTCAGGGGCGGCGAGGTCTCGCTCAGATCCGCGCGGTGCCTCGCTCCGCTGGACCCACAAGCAGCCATCGAAAGCGACGACAGCTTCGCAAATGTCAGCTCCCGAAGGTCGGCGAAGTCGGAGACAGGTACCGCAGGCAACATGCACACACAAGCGGCAATTACGCACAAAGCAAGAGGAGACAAGAAGGAGGGGGGGCGGGAGGCGGGAGGCGGGAGGAGAAGGAGAAGGAGAAGTGGAGACGGCAGTGCTCTATTCAAAATGAATACCCAACCAAGGAGGGTTGGGGACAACATATTCGCGCTCCCGAGGCCACGATGCCTCCAAGACGGCCCAAAATAGATCCAAGACGACCCACTTTGGCATTAAGACGGCCCAGGATGGCTCCAAGACGGCCCAAAAGGCCTTGAAGACCGCCGAGGAAGGCTCCGAGAGGACTCTGCGGAGGACCCGAAACAACCCACAGCATAGATGGTCCTTCAAGGATTTTCTCTTCTAGCTTCCGCCAGCTGAAGATGGTTAAAGATGCCTCCAAGACGGCCCAATTTGACTTCAAGACGGCCTAAGGTTGCCCTTGGACGGCCCACGACGGCCTCACGGCGGCCCCAAGAGACCCTCTAGACGGCCACGAGAGCCCCAAGAGAGCCCCGGGACGACCGCGGAGGGCTCCAAGAAGGCCCTCGAAGCCCCAGAAACCACCCACACATGAGCCCAGGACAGCCCCAAGATGGCCCGAATGAGGTCCATGAGGGCTCCTCCACCGCCATCGTCCGCCCCGGCACGGCCGAGGTGTAACACGTGACGGTTTCGGCGTCTGCCCCGCGGGATCCCAGAAGACCACCACGACTCCCTCCTCCTCCTCCTCTTCCTCCTCCTCCTCCTCCTCCTCCTCCTCCTCCTCCTCCTCCTCCTCCTCATACTCCTCCTTCTCCTTCTCCTCATCCTCCTCCAACTCCTCCACCTCCTCTTTCCTTCCTTCTCCTTCCTCCTCCTCCTCCTCTTCCTCTTCCTCCTCACTCCTCTCTCTCTCCTCCTCCTCCTCCTCCTTCCTCCTCCTCCTCCTCCTCCTCCTCCTCCTTCCTCCCCCTCCTCCTCCTCCTCCCCCTCCCCTCCTCCTCCCTCCTCCTCCTCCTCCTCCTCCTCCTCCTCCTCCTCCTCCTCCTCCTCCCTCCTCCTCCTCCTCCTCCTCCTCCTCCTCCTCCTCCTCCTCCTCCTCCTCCTCCTCCTCCTCCTCCTCCTCCTGCGCGGCACAAAGCTGCAGCGTGCGACACTTGCAACACAGAACTGCAACAAATGAGGCACGCACAACGCATGCAGCCCGTACAAACGTGCAGCATGTGAAGAACGCAAGCAACCACAACGCACACAACACGCAACACTCGAAGACCTGCCAGCACGCAGCTGCAACATACGCAACGCGTGACCACAATACCAGGTGCACACAACCTGAGCCCGTGTAACACGCAACTGCAACCCGTGCAGCACAGCAATGCGTACAGCACGAAACTGTAATGCGCGCTGCACGCAATTTCAACGCGTAAACCTAGCAAGAAACGGCGCTCAATTTCGGAGCCCCTGGGGCCCTTTGGACCCCGTGACAGGCTCTTTGGAGGCCGCGGGGGCCTCCTTGGAATGTCTGAGGGCACCTTGGGCCAAAGACACTTCTAGCAACGCCCGAATGATGCGGGGGGGGCCTTGTCTCCAGCGTCGATGGCCTCCTTGAACTTGTCGACGTCATCGTCTCCAGCCTCGTCTCCGGTCTCGTCTCCCGCGTCGGTGGACGCACCTTCCAGAACGTAGTAATCCCAGCAGTCGTTACTCTCTGGCTCGCATGCGCCGGAATACAGGGTGCAGGCGCCTGTTGCGTATTGGAACACTGGGAGGAGGAGGAGGAAGAGGAGGAGGAGGAGGAGTAGGAGGAGAAAGAGGAGGAGGAGAAGGAGGAGGAAGAGGAGGAGGAGTAGGAGCACAATCAGGAGGGGGGAAAGGAGGAGGAGGAGGAGAAAGAGGAGGGAGGGGTGTCAAGCTAGGTGCCCTCGAGTCATGTATGACGTCCTACCCCTCCCTCCCGTCCCTTACCATAGCGTAGAGCTCCTCTCTATTCGCACAGTCGGATGTCGATGACCCCGAGAGGGTGCGCGATGCACCGTAGAGCACGGCATAGCAGGGCGTAGAAAAGCACGGCAGAGCGTAGTACGTCATAGCATGGCGTGGCGTTGCGTAGTTAAGACTTGCATCACAAAGCATTGCAACGTAAATAATGGCATCGCGCAGCGGCACATAACAGAACATGGCATAGCGTGGCGTTGAAGATCAAAGCGTAGCATGGCATAGCATGGCGTGGCACTGCGTAGTGAAGCACTGCGTATCCTAGCATTGCAGCTGAAGCCATGGCATCGCGCAGTGGAACACCACATAGTATTGCATGGCATGCCGTGGCATGGCACTGGAAATAATGACGCCAACGCTGCAGCGGGAGCACCATTAGGAACGAGCGGAAGCGCGGAAATGAGGCCAACGCTGCACTGGGAGGACGATTCGGAGCGAGCGGAAGCGCGAAAGTGAGGCCAGCGCTGCAGCGGGAGTACGATTCGGAACGAGCGGAGACTCGAAAATGAGGCCGGCGTTTCAGCGAGAGCAACATTTTGAATAACAAATCAAATGAAAACCCAACTCCCCGGAATCCGGTGAAAAACAATACGCGAAGGGGGGCCGGACATCTTCTAGACGTCATCAGGGGAGAGAGGAGAGCAGTATTCATATTGCGTGATAAATTGAGAGAGGAGTCAGGGAGGGGGGAGACGGGAGGAGGATGAAGGGGGGAGGGCGGGAGAAGAAAAGGGGAGGAGGGAGGAAGAAGCGTGAGAGGAGGGAGCGGAGAGGGGGAGGGAAGGGGGAAAAAGTAGCGAGCGGAAGGACGGGAGGGGGGGAGGGGAGGGGGGGGGGGGGGGGCAAAGAACATGGGAGGGCGGAGAGGACGTGGCAGGAGGCGGAGGGACGAGGAGCACGCAGGCGCGAGCTGAGGCGTGTGGCGCAGAAGCGCAGCGAGAAGCAGAGAGCAGGAGGTGACGGAGAGGGAGCAGGCTGAAAAGAAGGAGGAGGAGGAGGAGGAAGGAGAAGGAACGATGTTGCTTAAGGCGATCCCTTGAGACCCTCGCGCCCCCATACTTTTCACACCCAGCGTGTTCGCCAAGTTTCGGGCCCCGAAACCCTCAGTTTCCTGCCGGCCGAAAGAAACCCGGTCGCAAGAGATAGAAACGGCGACGAGGAGACAACACGACAGAGGCCGCTGCGGGGAGGGCGCGGCCAGCCCGCTGGGCGCCCCGCGCATGGCCGTGGCGGACCGAAGGCCTCAGCTCAGCGCGCCCCGGCCTCGCGGGGGCTCACGCTCCCACCGCGCGGCTGGACCACCGCCGCCGCACGAATGCGAACGCCGCGCGCGCGCGCCTCAGAAGGCGCTCGCGGCCTCGCGACGGGCCAGCAGCGCAGCGGGCCTCAACGCGGCCAGCTCGAGCGTCGCCGCCTCGAGCAGGACCTCGGGCCCCTGGGCCCTCGGGACCGCTCGCCACGCCCCCGCCCGCGCTCGCAGCGCGCCCGCCTGGCCCACGCGCGAAGGGCTGGCCAAGCCCGCCTCGGTCACGGCCGCCGCCGAGCGCCCCCTCGGGCAGAGCCGCCGCCCGCGCCGCGCCTCCCGCGGTAGCGCCGGCCCGTGGCTGGAGCCCGCGGCCACGCGCTGGCGGCGGCGCTTCGCACTGCGCCAGCACCCAGAATCCCCGTCGCTGCTGGCGCCCTTGTCTGCCGCAGTCGCCCGGCGTGCGGCTGCGCTTCCGTTCGCCCGCGGCGGCGTGGGCACGCTTGGGCGGACGCCGTCGGCTCCGTCGTCGGCGTCCGCCCAAGCGCGATCGCGGTCGCTGGCGGTGTGGCCGCCCTCTCGAACAGCGGGGCGGGCTCGCCCAGCGCTGCGCACTCCTGCTCGATGGGGAAGCCGCCCTCGTTAAGCTGCACCGTCGCCGCGTGCCCCTGCCGGTCAGCGGCGTGAGCGCCGCAGCGGGGTGTCACGGGCGCTAGCCCGCGCCAGGGGATGAGGAGCTGGCCCTCCGTGAGGCTGGTAACCACGAGGCCCCCAGGCCCCTGGAGACCCACCTGCTGCAGTGCCAGAATTGCCCAACTCCGCGCTCGGCGTCCCGCCTGTCGAATGACTCCCCAGGTTGAGTATCGTTGAACCGATCCCCGTCCCCAGCGGCGTGGCCTAGGCCCCACTGGACGATTTACCCCCCTAGATGGGGATATGGGCCGTCCCCCTGCCGGCTTCGAGGGATGTGTTCCCAACCGGGGTGGTAATTTGGTGGAGGCCTCGCAGGGGATACGGATGCGGGTCGCTTCCACGCTACTGACGGGTCGCCTCCTCCGGCGCTATCGCTGGTCCTCGCCGCTGCCAGTGCAGCCGCCTGCCGTGCGCGCGCTGCTGCCGGAGCAGCCAGCGCGCTCAGCTCCCCACCGTCGCCGGGTGCGCCCGCGCGCCGTGCCGCCCACCGGCCGCGCGGGCGGCGCCCGCGGGTTCCGCGGAGCCGCCCGCGCAGGGTCCGCGGCCAGGGGGGCAGCCCCTGCCGAGCCCGCTGGCGCCGCCGCCGACGCCCGCACCTCCTCCTCCTCGCTCTCCGTGTGATGGCGGGACAGCAAGTTCAGAAAGAGTCCGAGGGAGAAGTTGCTGGCTATGTTCCCAGTGCTGCAATGGCGCAAAACAGGAGCTAGACGAAGGCGGGGCAAACCGGACCGCGGGGGACGTCCCCGCGACCGCCATGACGCTGGGCCCGTCGGGCAGCAAAGCCTACCGAACGCGAGAACTGGACGCCACCGCGTGCACGCGCGCACTTCCTCGTCGACCAAAGTAGCCTGCACATCTGCACGCATACAGCTTAGACGCATTTGCCAATGCATGCACGTGCGTGCGTGTATGTTTACAAGGACTTGTATACAAACATACAGGTGATTATGTGTATAGCGAGAGAGAGAGAGAGGGAGAGAACATAATATTAATAAAAGTAATAATAAAAACAATAATAATAATATTAATAATAATAGTAATAGTAATAATAATAATGATAATAATAATAATAAATAATAATAATAATAATAATAATAATAAGAAGAAGAAGAATGATAACAATAATAATGATAATAATACTTAAAAAAAATCGAGAGAGAGGGAGAGAGAGAGAGACAGAGAGAGAAACAAAACAAAAAAAACGAATCGCCCGGTCGCCGTGGAATATTTCCGGGGGGGGGCAGTTGAGACAGCCATCGGCGGCGAAATTGGTGGCCGTCGGGATCTGGGGGGGAGGCACGGGGGGCCATCGTTGCCTACTTGTCAGCGGCCGCCGCGCCCCGCGGGGCGCGCGGCCGCTGGCGGGGCAGCTGGAGGCCCGGCGGCCGGCGGGGCGGGCGACGGGACCGCCTCCGCGGCGGCTGGGCGGGTCGTGGCGCCCTGCTCGCTCCGCTGGAGCCCCGTGCGGGAGCGCCCCGCCCGGGAGCCCGGCGCGCCGCACTGGGGGGCTGCGGCCGCGGCGGCGTCCGCGGCGGCAGCCCCCCGCGGCCGGAGGGCCGCGCGGCCGAGCATCCGTCGCCGCCGAGGCCAGCACGCCCCCCTGGCCGCGCTGCCCCGGGGCCCGCGGGCACCGGTCGTGAGTTCCCGCGGTGCTTGAGGTTTGTCCGCGACGTCGGATCGCCGGGTCCCCAGCCGAGAACGCGAGGCGGGATGCTCGGAGAGCACCGCGGGCACACTTGGGGGCCTGGCGGCCGAGATAGGGTGTCGTCATTCGTCGAAGACGCGAGGCGGGATACCCAGGGAGCGCCAGGATCCTTGGGGCCTGGCGGACGCGGTATGCTGTGCGAGGCGGGGCGGGAGCGCTTCCCTCCAAATCTAACAACCCCAACCGATCGGGTGGGCAAAAAGAAACGGAGGAAGAAGAGAGCAATGACGCGAGAGGGAGGATCGGGGGGAAAGGGGCGGCAACCTTACGGCACTGGTGTTGTGCCATCCCACCTCCTCCTCCTCCTCCTTCTCCTCCTCCTTCTCCTCCTCCTCCTTCTCCTCCTCGTCCCACTCATAGTTATCCAATCCTCCTCCCCTTTTCCCCTCCTCCTCCTCCTCCTCCTCCTCCTTCTCATCCGCCTCCTCCTCCTCCTCCTCCTCCTCCTTCGCCTCCTCCTCCTCCTTTTCCTCGTCCTCCTCCTCCTCCTTCTCGTCCTCCTCCTCTTCCTCCTTCTCGTCCTCCTCCTCCTCCTCCTCCTCCTCCTCCTCCTCTTCCTCCTCCTCCTCCTGTTTCATCTGCATGAATTGTGGGTGTTGGGTGTTTTGTTGTGTCGTTCGGTGAAGCCGCAGCATGAGTGCGGAAGTACCGTGTTCACTGGAGCTTCATACCGAACACCGATATCGGGAAAACGTCGGGAGTGGAGGAATGAGCAACAAACGGAGGGATGGCTCCTCTTCGCTTCCCCCCTCTTCTCTGCCCCCTCTCACTCCAGCCGAGGGCGCCCTTATCAACGCCGCTGCCCTTGCACTTGTCAGATGGCTTCGGCTGGAAATTGAAGCCGGCGCACTCGCCCCCCTTCGCGGCGCACTTTTGGCCACAACCCTGGGCCGTGTCCTCCACCTCTCGGGGCCACAAGAGACGTGCCATCCCTTGGGGGTCCATTCCGTGTGCATTGTTTGAGTTGGCGCGTGTGTTTTTCTCCAGGTGGCCCACGATGGTCTCGATGTTCTGGCGCTGGCCTCGACGAGAAACATGCACACGTCCGAACGACGCCAACGGAAAGAATGAGAATCCGACTCATCCTGATCAGCCTCCCCCCAATAGCGGCTGACATGCTGGGCCCCTGCGCGCTTGCACCTCGAACATCTGGTGAGGCAGCAAAAGAGGAGGACGAGGAGGAGGAGGAGGAGGAGGAGGAAGAGGAGGAGGAGGAGGAAGAGGAGGAAGAGGAGGAGGGAGGAGGGAGGAGGAAGCAGAGAGGAGGGAGGGAGAAGGGAGGCGGCGGGAGGGAAGACGGAGGAGGAGGGAAGAGGGAGGAGGGAGAACGGAGGGACCATCACTTGGCTACGGGGGAAGGCTAATGGCTGGCCGACCCGACCCTAACCCGAAACCTTGTGGCACTGGGCCACTGTCTGTTAGCCCTCCGCGCCCCAACACGGAAACAGAGGCGCTATGCATCCAACGCCGCTCATGAGGCGGAAGGTGCCTCTGCAGCTGAACTTTAGGCTGCTGCCAAATCCCCGAGGGTCTGGCGGTAAAATTGGGCCAGGGGAGCGGGAGTTTGAAAACGACGGCCGGATTCTTCCCCCTTCCAATGGTCGCAAAGAGCATGCCTTGGCGAGACGGTCGGCTGCACCAGACAGAACTCTAAGGCGCTCTCGGCCAATCCGAGTTGAGACTCCTGGAGCGCTCCATGTAGGAGCCGCAATATTTGCAGAGGATCATGGTGCTCGAATTGTCCAGACATTCGAGCCATAGGAGATTATGCGTCCAAGGGTTATGAGCCAAACGAACCATGGCACTTCGCAGTACCCTGGGCATTTCTCGCTGGCACGGGCTATCTGAATCAAACTGGACTTGGCAGGTGCTCGACAAATCGTGCTAATCCAGTTACCCCTAGTCGACTCCCAGTTGTGAGTCGCGTCAACTATCTCAGGCACCACCAGGGGAGGCGGGGGAGGAGGAGGCGACGGGAGACCGGCCCTAGGATCCCGGACGCGAGGAGCAGACGCGGCCCCAAGGGGGGGGGGATCGCGGGGGCCTCTAACCCTTGCTACCCTCGCTTCGGGGCCAGAGCGGGCCTCTGGGAAGGATTCGGGCAAATTAAGTTAAACATATTATAATCAGCGTCGTTTGATCAGCGTGGGTTTCGAGCTCCAGGGGGCTAAGCTTAGCCAAGAGCAGGGCCGCTCGCTTAGCCGCCTTGCCGGGGCCGTGGTTGCCTGGGGCGCGCGGCTTGTCTGCTTCGCTGGAAAAGCTTCGTCTAAGTCTTGATGGCCTTTGATATTGCATAGACGCTTGGCTGGATTGACTGCGCGCGCGCGCCTGCCAGCACCTGGACGCCCCGCAGCACCGACCTCCGCGGGTTGCGAGGGCCGAGATGAAGGTCTACGGCGGCTGCATAATCAATGTGCACATGGGTGACCAGCGGAGGCGAGCGACATGCGGCGAGGACCGCCTACTGCTCAGCAGCTCCAGACGTCTGCCTGAATTGCTGTCCGACTTGGCCGTGAAAGATGGCGAAAGGTTCGCTGACTCTCATAGCCACGGCCGAAAGGCCTGCTGCATGGCACGCAGGATGAGACGCGCCGTCGCAGCTGCCGCCAGTGTAGACATGGCCTTCAAAGGCCTCGCGCGTGGACAAACCAAAGCCCTTGCACCAGAACTGAACGTCTTCCATCCCGAAGCCCGGCCCGGCCCCCACGGAATGCTCGGCCCCCCGCTGAAAACCGAAGCGGGCCAGGGGAACCCCCTCCTGTCCCGTTGTAAAGTGCGCCGCCAAGCTGGGCCACAGGCTTCTTCCCTCTCGTGTCTAGACATGGCGCGCTCGAGAATTCGATGTCCGATGTCATCTGGGTCTGCGCCGCAGGGGCGTCGGGCAGCAACTGGGCAGCCTGCGCCCTTCGCCCCGGCCATTGCCCCGCACCCCTGCGTGAGAGACGCTCGGTTAGGGGCTGGCCCCCCAGGGCAGCAAGGGTCGCTGCGGGGCCGCGGCGGGCCCGCGCATCGTCGCGCTTGCTGGGCGCCTGCTCTCTCGCAATGTTGGACCAGTCCTCTCGGCAAACGGACAGCGCGCGCCCGGGCCCATAGGGGGGGCCGGCGGGCGGGGGATTTGCCGCGGGCACGGGCGCGGGTTGTCGGACCGCGGGGGAAGCCCGCGTTCGAGCGGGGGGTGCCATCCGACAACGCGCCCCCATAGTCCCCTCCGTCCTCCGCATGGGCACGGGCGTTGTTCGCCCGTCACTTCTCGCGTGGCTAGCTGGGCGAAATCAAGCGAATAGCTAGACCTGGGATAATGATTGCGATTGCGGGCGACGAAAACGAAAGCGGAGGCCGAACTCCATCCAATTCGCCTTAAAAACAGCACCATGGCCCCGAAGGGGCCGCAGACGGCAGCCAATCTCTGGGGCGCGGAGCCGAGGGGGCTCTCTTCGCGGGCCCTGAGAGCTCATAATGAGGCCAGGGCTCGGGGGGAATTGGCGGCGGCCGCCCGCGCATGCACGTGCCAGAGGAGGGCAGGGCCTCGGGCAAGCATTCAGGCGGGGCCCCCCACTAGGATTAAGCTTAAAAATCCTGCTTCTAGCGGCGCACGTCGGGTCTGCGAGTCCTTAATGTTGTTGCTGAGCAGCGGCTAGTCGCGAACCATTATGGCCCGCCGCTTCATGTCCGAAAGAGGTCGCTGCGAAGATACCCGTGTTGTCGATCTTACGAACGCCCCCCCCCTCTGGGTGGCCCCCAATCTGCTCGTCCTGCTCTTGATTTGGCCCCTCCTCGCCTGGGTGATCCGATTATTTCTCCATCTGCTCGGGAAGCACCCGCTGCGGTCGAAGCCGAGGTCGGGGGCTGAGATGAGCCAGGTTGGCGCCCGCTCTATCCTCGAACTTGTTCCTGATCATGGGTGGTTGCTCCGGCGTCGCGGCTGCCATCTCCTTGGCCGGCGAGGCGCCGCGCCAATGGTTGCCCCTGATGCAGGCGAGCAAACGGCGCGCGCCCAGATCGAAGCGGCCGGCAACCGCCGGCGGCCTCGGGCTGTAAGACTTGAACAGGAGATCGTCTACGAACTCCGGTGGGCCCAGGAGCTCAGGGGCCCAAGGTGCACATCTGAATAAGATAAGTAGCTAAACCGCGCCCAGCCGCCATCCCAAATTTGGCACATCCCACGGAGCCAATCATGTTCTGAAGGCCCACGTACCTGGAGCTCGCGTAGATGCAGAAGATGGGTTTAAGTAATGTAGCCGGGAGTTCACCGCGCAGTGCTCGCCCGGCTTTCGAGGCGCGCTTGACGCGCTCGTTGCAATTACTTAGGTCATGCAAAACCATGTCCGAGACAAACAAAGACTTCGTTCTTCATGAATAGTTCTCGCAATCCCAGCTCTGCCTGAGAGCGAGCTCCACACTGGGGCGTCCTGCTTAATGGGCGAGGCAAGGCCGCCGACGACGCCTCCCCCACTCGCGAGCTGCTGCTTGTCGGATGCGGGCCCGCGTTCTGTAGGGGCCTGGCGACATCCCCATGGATGTCATGGCTGTCTTGGTTGCTGTCTGGTATTGCTGCTTGTGCTTCGCGATGAGCGCCAAGATGGCGGCTTGCGGTTGCGCCGGCATGAACCCGAACCGTTCGATGGTCAGGATCAGCCCAGCTATGAGATCAGCCTGTTCATCTGACTGTATAAGAAAATGCCCCAGATGAACTCCGCCCCAAGTCGAGGCTGTTCTGGGGGGAAGCTCTTGCTATCGCATCACCCGCCAATGGGCCCAGGGTGACGCGATCGTCGATGTGGTCGGGGACGGCGTTTGTATGCGTCCTTCCCTCCGCGCCAGATGTCAGCGAGTCTTCCGGCCTCCCCCTCCAGAATTCTCGACGGCCTGCCTGACAATCGTACGCGGTGCAAAATATCTGCTGACTTCCAAGCCTCTAGATTGCGGATCCAGCAGTACGTCCAGCCGACTCCACCCTGCAATGAAGTCTGAACCAAGAAGCCCGGGCCTTGGAGGCCTCCAGATTGCTCCCCCTTCTCGGAACCGATGGACTTGCCCAAGTCCTAGGTGCGGGCCCCGGTAGCGTCGTCGGCTGCGCCCAAGCAAGCCCGATTGCAGCACTGTCTGCGACTGACAACTCGCCGAGCTGCTGGGCCGCATGGAGGTCGCGCTTGAGGTCCTCCACCTCTTGGAGCTCGCCAGGGGGACTCTTGAAGCTCTGGCTCTGTCTTTCCTAGGCATCGCCACCCACTTGATGATAGGAGGGCTGGCCCTAGGAGTACAGGAATGGCGATGCGGAGAATCTGTGGTTATGCTAATAGTCTGCTCAAAATCCTTGCTGATGGTGAAATAGATGACGCGTGGCACTGACTGCCGCTGCTGCTTGCTGAGAGACCGCGCGGCATCGGCAAGCAAGGCATCTGCACAGTCGAGCGCGCTAGCGCTCTTGGACCAGGCCAGCGGCTTCAGCCGCGGTCCGATCTGCATGGTCGACGGAAGCCTCTGCGGCGTAGCCAAGGCTTGCTTCAGATGAAACTGAGAGCGACTGCGCTTGTTGATCCAAGCTCTTGTCTCTAAGAGCTTGCAACTTCGCTTCTTTGAAATACTCGAGCGCGTCAGGATACTCTTTCTTATCCACTCCCGCCCACTTGCGCCAAAACGCAATCTGCGCCTGAGCCAGAGCCACCGGATCAAGGGCCTCGTCCGGTGCTGGAGCCTCGGCTGGCGTTGTCCGACAGCCGGGGAGGGCGGGAGCGGGCTCGACCTGGACGGAAAGAGGCTGCCCTTGATGCACCGGTGAGCGTTTTCTGATTCGGCGTTTCGGCTTGGGGGGGAGGGGGGGCGACGGGGGGGTCTGGCTCCTGACCTCTGCTTAATGCGGTTGTTTGGAAGCGTGCGTCCTCTGGGGGAGAAGCTCCACCTGCTCGAAACGGGCACCCCAAACAGCCAAGATTCACTCCAGGGGGGTGGAGACGGGTGCGAGGGCCCGCGCCGATCGGCAAAACAATGAATAATACGAAGATCACCTTGATGCGCTGCCGTTAGTTTTATTCCACTCCTTCTTGGTGCCTGACTCCTTAGGAAGTGCGGAACCGCATGAAGAACACCACTGCCTGCCACCCCACTCCCAGTCGTGACAGCCACGCTCAGGACAGCAAGCGTAAGACGAGCGACCCATGGCGGCAGGACTGCGCGGTGTGGGGAAAGGGATGGAATGGTTGCCGCAACAGGTCCCTGCGGGCGGCTGTATGGGGCAGCCTCGGGAGCAGGGGACAGAAGACAGCGTTGTTGCCCTTCTCGAGGGGCGGGGTTCCCGCAGATTGCAACTTGAGCCAAAACGGCTCGAGCCAAATAGGGAGGAGGGAGGAGGGAGGAAGGACGGAGGACGGAGGAGGGAGGAAGGAGGAGGAGGAAGGAGGAGGAGGAACAGGAGAGGAGGAGGAGGAGCAGAAGGAGGAGGAGGAGTGGGGGGGGAGGGAGGATGGAGGAGATGGAGGAGGGAGAGGAGGGAGGAAGAGGGAGGAGGAGGAGGGAGGAGGAGGAGGAGGGAGGAGGAGGAGGAGGAGGAGGAGGAGGAGGAGGAGGAGGAGGAGGAGGAGGAGGAGGGAGGAGGAGGAGCCCATCCCGACGCATCGAGTCCAACACAAAAACAATCCAAGTTCGGCTGGGACGTTCCGCTTCGGCGCCGCGCCCCCAGGGGAAGGCAGAGGAGGCGGGCCCCTTCATCAAGGCTCAGAGGGCCTCGGGCCTTGAGGGAGAAGCTGCACGAGCCTGCTCCTGCGACACAGGGGTGCCTCTCAGGAGGCCAGGAGCCCTCGGCGCGCGGCCGAAGCCCGCTTCCCCTCTCCCTGGGCGCCCGCCCGGGTCGCGGTGGCGGATCCGCACGGCAGCGCAACTTGACAAATTGCCTTAAGTCGGGCCTGTCCTTCTGCAGGAGGAATATCTCAACATAGTGAAAAAATAGTCTGGGGACGATTGTTTGAAGTACTTTTGAATATGTTTGGACTATAATTTGACCATTTTCTATTCTCGTCCAAAATCTGCCTGCAGGGGGACATGCCCGACCTAAAAATTACCCTTCCCGTCGCACCGCCAGGCGTGTCAAAAGGGCAAGCTGAGCATCTCGCCTGATACCTCACCTTCTTCGCGGTTGACGGCCCCTCAATCCGGAACTCACAGAGGCTGCACGATGGGAGGCCTCGAAGATGGCACCCTTGCGGCAGCAGACCGGAAGCAGCCTTACAGGGTTCACGATGGGTGGCCACGATGCGGGGCGGGCCACGACGGGAGGCCACGGTGGCGGTCCACGATGGGGGGGGGGGCACGGTGGGGCCACGATGGGGGGCCACGATCAGGGGCCACGCTGGGAGACCACGTCGGGGGCCACCATGGACGGAAAAGGCTGGGGGGCCAAGCTCGGGGGGCCACGTTGGGTGACCACGCTGGCGGTCCAGGACGGGGGGGCCACAATGAAGGGGCACGACCGGGCGGCCACGGTGGAGGGCCACGTTGGGAGCCGCGAGGGGGGGAAAGCGATGGGGGGGGGCACGATGGTCCACCCATTTTTAGGGGACCCAAACTCTCTCACTGTACGTTAGAGCAACAGTACAGCACCCATGCTGTCAAGCTGCTTGAGGAAGCAGCAGAGATTCGGGCGTTCTCGTTCTCGAATTGAGGCGTTTGCCGTTGCGACGGAGGTGTTCGCCGTTGCGTCCAAAATACAAATGGTTTTCAAATTGAGGTGTTACCCGTTGAGCCGCACACATTCGCCTTCAACGTGTCAAACATGTGTACGGGTGAGGTACAGATCGTTAGCAAAAACTGGCTCTCGCCCTCGCGCCTTGCACAACGTGTGCAACAACTGCACGGATTGCGGGCGGTTCTATTTCAACATGGGCCTCCAGCTTGAGATTTCGTAGAATTCGTGGAACCACACGGATGGACGGCGTATCGTCAAAATGGGGGAACGCTTGGGGTCAATCATATGCTATTGCCAGCGATCTGAAACATGCAATAGGAGCTGTCTCAAAATTGGGTTCTCGCGTGAATGTGTCTTACACTTGGCAAGATCTCGAATGTGAAATACCAATATGAAATAACAAACATGGAGATCTGATTCTAAATCGCAGCCCCCTGGGCCATTCGCCTTTGACGCGGGCGCCCCCACATAGTCAACGGGGATGCTTGCAGGCTAGAAGGGCGCTGTACAAGAGGACTTGCGACGTGCTGATAGATTGCAACATCGTCGATGTGTTTTGTGTTTGTTGCGTTCCACCTTCTCCTCCTCTTCCTCCTCCTCCTCCTCCTTCCCCTCTTCTTCCTCCTCTTTCCTCCTACTCCGCCTCCTCCTATCTCCTCATCCGCCTCCTCCTCCTCCTCCTCCTCCTCCTCCTCCTCCTCCTGCTCCTCCTCCTCCTGTTTCTTCCTCTGCCTCCCCGTCCTGGACGGAACAAAAGGTACCGATACGAGTATTCCCCGGACATCTCCCGACAGCGGTACATGTACCTTTCCCTCCTCTGACCTCCTCTGGGCAAGCCTTCATGGGAGCCTCTGTGGACATCTGCGGCCCTATCAAAAACGCGATTTCGACTGGACTTCGTCCAGATTTCGGCCGGCCTTCTTCACCCTTTCGTCAAGAGTTCGTTCAGAATTCGTCCAAATGTCGACAAAATCCGACGAAATCCCAACGAAATCCCCCAAACCGCCAGGAATTCTGGGATCCTCTGAAGCCCCCATGAAGGACCACACGACCTCCTCCCTCTTCCTGCAGGTTCGCCCCCGACCACCGACTCGCCCACCGACAGCTCCGCCCAGTTCTTGCAGCCCGTCCCGGAAGCGTCCAGGCTCCAGGTCGCCTCGGCCAATCTTTCTCGGGCGCCCCCCCCAAGCGCCCAGCGCGGGTGAGGGACGAGTGCGACGACGACTGCTCCGAGGAGGAGGAGGAGGAGGAGGAGAAAAAGGAGGAGGAGGAGGAGGAGGAGGAGGAGGAGGAGGACGACGACGACGAAGAGAGGGCGTCCCCCTCTCGTCCGTTTCATCCTCCTCCTCCTCCTCCTCCTCCTCTCCTCCCCTCCTCCTCCTCCTCCTCCTCCTCCTCCTCCTCCTCCTCCCCCTCCCCCTCCTGCGCACGCAGTAGGCGCTCATGAGATCCCCACGACCACCAACAGAGCAAAACGCGCCCGCCGACCCCCAGGAAGACCCAGACCCCCCCGAGGAGCCAGCCCGGCACCCCCCATCGGGGGGCCGGACGAGGAGAACAAAAACCTCGGGAGAGCACCCATCAGGACGACTTTTTGTCACCCCCGACTGGGGGCGCTATCCAGTCGAGGGGCCAGCGGCAGGGTGCTCTCTCCGAGGGCGGCCTGGGTCCAAGCCCTGACCGCTTCTCAGACTGGCAGGGTTCCAAGCTTCGGTGAGAAGGATCCACTCCTTCCCTTGCTTGTACCTGCCCTGCTCAAGGCCTCACAAAACTCGGTTGCCCCAAACAGAGGGCACTGGCGGACACGGATCTCGAAACTGTTTCGAAATGGTAACTCCGCCAGCACCGCAATGGACACACACCACCCCCCGCCTCCCCCCCGCGAGAGTAAAGGGAAAGGCTCTGTGATTGGCGTGACCCTCTCTCTTCAAGACCGCGATCGCAACATCGGCTCGACTTTCAACCGACGAGACGGCGGGAGGGGGAGGAATTACTTGCAGCCTGGGCGCATCAGACTTGGGTTTCTTGACACGCTTGGACACAGGAACGTGCTGACAGTCCAGATCGGCCATGGGGGGCCCGCACACGCCAACCCAGCGGGTCAAGGCACACACAACTGTAAACTGACTTTTGAACAGATCTCGATACTGCTGAGAGACGCTGCTGTATTCCGCAGCTTGCTTGGCATAATTATCAGCCAACGCGTTACCAGTCTGAGCCCTGGCCGAGAGACGACCAGAGGTGACATCAGAACGAGTGGTGTGCGCCTTAACTTTGTTAAGGCGCAGTGCATCGAGACCACCTCTGTCATCGATGGCATGCCAGACAAGCTTCCAGATGTCAGCCCACGCACCTTTAGCCGAGCAACAAAACTGCCGCCCCCGCTCCCAAACTCCCTGGAAGACAAAATTGGAGTCGGTCCAGAAGATTGCATCGGGAAGGGCCTGCCTAAAGCCCATGAAAAACGCCCAAAAATTCACACGCGTCTATGTCGAAATGACCTGCTGGGAGCCCCCCCGCCGCCACCGCGCGCTTCGCTCGAGACATGGGGAGATTCGGATCGTCGTGCAACGAGACGATGGCCCAGCCTAGCGAACGCGCAGTGGGCGGGAGCTCGGAATCGAAGAGGCTCCCGTCGAGAAAGCAATCTCCTCCGAGCTCGTCGGGGGTCCCAAAGAGCCAAAGTTCCTTAGGAGGAGTGGGTCGAGGAGGAGGAGGAGCAGGCAGCGGCACAAGCAACCTCTCGAGGAGGAGGCGAACGAGAGGGTTGCCTGCTGCTACCACCATGGCCTGCGTACACGCAGGCGGCTCCTGCTCTAACTCGAGCAAGTCCTGATGACCCGAGCATCCGACGTGCCTGTGCAAGAGGGTCCCTGGGCCTGAGGAGCAGACCTGACACTCTTGTTGAGACGACAAGCCGAGCTGATACTGCCTATCTTGCGGCCACTGGCCGCCCGAAACTACACAAACTACATAGGCCTGTTCGTGCGCCTTTAGCTTGGACATACCAGCCTTGATGGGAGCAAGAAAAAGGCCCTGCACAAACTCAGGCATCTGGAGGTGGTCGGCCACGTTGCTCCAGAGCCAGCTCTCGACAACGGTCTCAAGGGCAGGTTTAACCGCGCGGGGACACAAGGTCTCAACCGAGAAGACGCCCGCGCTAGGATGCTGCCACTCGAGCCCCTTCATCTTGATACCGAGTCGCATTGCCGTGGCGACGGCGGCTGAAAAGGGGCCCCGAATGGCATGCCAAGGAGAACCGTGCTGTTGGAGTTTCTGCCACGCTCCTGCAAGGCCTTGCACCACCACCACCCTAGGCACCCACCCGTCCCAGAGCGAGGTCGCGATAGAGAGGAGAGGAGAGACATTGAGGTTATACGCAGGATCAATGCGTGGAACTCCTGACAACTGCAGCATGAGAGTGATGGAGCGTCCTGCCAAC